TTGTTGAAAAAAAATGTTAAGAATGAGATATAGAAATAGATCTAAGGTGTATATTCTCATGATATTCATAAGCTTAAATAGGATTTAAGCTAGCAACTTAACAAATGAGGAAAATATAAAATAATTAAATATTGAGAATAAAATAAAATATACGGTAAATCAAATCATAAATAAAGAATATTAAGATATAATATCTAGGATATATTCCATAAATAATATATACTCTAAATATTATATCTCAACACTCCCCCTCAAGTTGGAAGTGCAGGTCAATCACACACAACTTGTTTTTTTTAAAAAAAATCAGATTGATGTCTTCCCAAAGCTTTAGTGAAAATATCTGTCAATTGCATTTTAGTCGAAACATAACACGGTTTGATGATTCCATCTTGTAATTTTTCTCGAACTATATGACAATCTATTTCAATGTGTTTTGTACGTTCGTGAAAAACTGGATTAGTTGCTGTGTAATGCTGCTTGATTATCACAGTACAATAATACTGGTTTGGACAGTGGAACTTTCAAATGGAGAATGTATCTTAACCAAATTAACTCTAAACAAGTATTTGTCATAGCTCGATACTCGGTTTTTGCTGATGATCTGGACACATTGGTTTGTTTTTTAGACTTCCAAGAAATAATTGAATTTCCAAGGAAAATGCAGAACCAAGAAATAGACCATTTGGAGATTCGATAACCACCCCAGTCTGAATCGCAATATGGTTGTAATCTCAAGTTATTTTCAGATGGTAGTAGAAGTTCTTGATCAAGAGTACCTTTGATGTATTTCAGAACTCGAAGAGCTACCTCCCAATGTGGTTTTCTTGGTTCATGCATAAATTGACTAAGCATACGAACTAATACACTATGTTAGACCTAGTAACGGTTAAATATATTAATATTTCAACCAACCATCTATATTTACTTGGATTATTCAACTTTTCTCCTTCTGTTGAAGAAAGTTTCAGATTTTGCTCCATAGAAAACTTTTCTGGACGTGCTCTTGTAAGACCTGTGTCTTGAAGAATGTCTAGAGCATCCTTCCTTTGAGACATAAATATTTCTTTTCTAGACCTAGAAAATTCAATACCTAGGAAATATTTCAAATTCCCTAGATCTTTGATTAGGAATTTCTTGAGTAAACTAGTCTTGAGATGTTGAATTTCTTTGAGATCATTGTCTGTCAACAGAATATCATCAACATAGATAAAAGTTGCAGTGAAAGAAGTACATTTACTCTTAGTAAATAAAGAGTCATCTGCTTTGGACTGCGTGTAGCCTGCATTTTGTATAGTGGTAGAGAATATGGAGAACCAATTGCGAGAAGCCTGTTTTAAACCATAAAGAGATTTATGGAGCCGACATACTGTATTCTCCCCCTATCGGTGAATACCTGGTGGTAAAGACATATAGACTTCCTCGTCTAGATTACCATGGAGAAAGGCATTTTGAACATCCAACTGATGAGTGAACCATTTTCGAGCAGCGACAATAGTGAGTAAGCAACGAAGTGTAGTAAGTTTCGTTGTAGAAGAAAATGTCTCTTTGTAATCAACACCTTCAACCTGAGTGTATCTCTTTGCTACCAGTTGAGCTTTATAGCGTTCAACAGAACCATTAGAGTTGTGTTTAATCTTGTACACCCAACGATAACCAATAGCTTTATGGCCATGTGGTAGAGGAACGAGAGACAAGTATGATTACGTTCCAAAGCTGCAATTTCATCATTCATAGCCTGCTGCCATAATGGGTTGCCAACTGCCTCATCATAGGTTTTAGGTTCTGTCTGGGTTGTAATAAGAGCTAGAAAAGCACGTTGAGTATGAGAAAAACGAGAGAATGAAAGGTAATGATGAAGGGGATACCTGGTGCCAGTGTTGAGACTTGAGCTAGAGGTTAAATGATTGGCTCAAGAAGACATCTCATAATTATTATAATAAGCTGGAGGTTGTTTGGTACGAGTAAAACGTCGAAGTGAAACTGATGTATCAGGTGAGATAAGATTAGATTTAGTGGGTGAATCTGGTGGATCTGGAACTTATGAATTTGGAGAAGGAATAGAAGGATTATAATGGATGTTTGGGTAGGATGGATCATGAAATGATAAAATGGGAGTTGAAAGAGTTAATGTCAAAGTTTGTGAAGCTGATGAAAAAGAAAAATCATCTTCACAAAATTTAACATCACAACTGATAAAGAATTTTTTAGATTACATGTCATACAATTCGTAATCTTTATGACCACAAGGATATCCTTTGAAAACACAAGGAATTGCCCGAGGTTCAAATTTTTGCTTAGGATGTACTACAATTGCATAACACTTACAACAAAAAACTTTAAGATGGTGAAATGTAGGTGATCGTTTGTAGAGTGCTTCAAAGGCTGTTTTGTTAGATAAAAATGGTGATGTATTCTATTTATAAGATAAATTGTCATTAAAATTAAGTGGAAGCTGTGACAGAAAAAAAGAGACCTAGCTACATTTAGGATATGACGATGCTTACGTTCTACGACTCTATTTTGTTGTGGAGTATAGACACAAATGCGCTGAAATTCAATGCCACGAGAAGTAAAAAATGGTTGCAAAGATAGGAACTCAGTCCCATTGTCTGACCTAACTATCTTGATAGTAGTATAAAATTGAGTTTGAACGAATTTAACAAAGTTTACTAACAAATGGTGTACTTCTGATTTGTGTTGCATAAGAAAAACCCAAGTACATTGAGTAAAATCATCAACAACAGTGAGAAAAAACGCAAACCAGAATGGGTTGGAATTTTATGTGGTCCCCAAACATCACAATGTAACATATCAAAGGCAGAATAGGTTGTTATTGAACTTTTTGGAGAAGACAACCTAGTTTGTTTTGCTAATGGGAAAATACTACAATTATGAGAAAGAGTAGCATTATTAAGATGCAATTGATCAGCTAGAAATTTAAAACGAGAAGGAGAAGGATGACCTAGGCGTAAATGTCACAAATCAGATGACTGAGATACTTGATTTGCTGAAGATTTGATAGGAGATGAAGAAATATGATAGAAACCTCCGAATTGTTTACCCGAGCCAATCATCTTCCCCGTAGCCAAGTCCTGCATAACACAAGAATCAGGATAAAAAGTCACATAACATTTCAAGACATTGGTAAGTTTGCTGATGGACATTAGGTTTAAATTGAATGGAGGTCCACATAAAACATTGTTTAATTTAAGGTCAGGATTAAAAGAAACATTGCCCGTATGTGACACATGTGTTGTCCCTCCATTTGGCAAATTTATTGTAGATATGGTGGTAGCCTTTGGTTCCGTCATAACAGAAGCTTTGGATACTATATGATCTATAGCTCCACTCTCGAGAATCCATGGATTAGAACTCGTAGAGTTGATAGATAATGCAGATACTGGAAACAAACCAGTAACATTGATGTTATTATTAGAATTACCAAAAGGACGATGATTGAGTGCAGATAAGGCTTGTACAATCTATTGTAATTGCTCAGAAGAAAAATTTGGGATGAAATTTGGTGACTGTTCTTCTGTATTCAACTGAGAAACATCGGCATATTTGCAGATGATCGATATTCTCGATTGTTGCATTGATTGATTTGTACTACCCTTCTAGAATTATTTTTCTGTTGACTCGATCTTCTGTATGTCCCCTTCTATCACAAAATTTACAATGAAATTTAAGAAATCGACACTCATCAATTGTATGACCACTTTTATTGCAGTGTTCACATGATTTATCCTTGGCAAATTTTGAATATGTTGTATGAATTATTATTAATTTATATTTTTTATTATTTTTATTTATTTATTTATTATTATTATTATTTATTATTTTTGGGCTATTACATTCTTAATTCTAGAGATGGACGGGGCGATACTCTCACGCCGTCTACAGATCATGAAGAATAATTGTGCGTAAAGTTGTTGCAGTGATATTGCTTAGAAATAGGCGAATATGTTTATTTGTACTTTGGCATTTGTATTTGTATTACTAGTGTTCAATAAACTCGATGACTCGAAAAAAACCTAATCAACCTCATTTGACCAATATCATTCGGGTTTTGAATTATGAACTTATTTAGATTGAATTAGATTAAAATAAATAAAAATTTAATGGACGTTTTCACCCGAATAGAGATTGAAATAGAATGAGAGGATAAGAAAAACAAAAATATATAAGAATTGATAAGAAGTTTTATTTTATTGTTCCATTATAGATATGGATTTTGATACACGAAGAAGATTGTAACAGAGACATCTCACTCCTGGAGAAGAACGTGGAAAGACTCGAGCTTCCGAGGAGGCTCCAACCATGGTTGCTCCCACACCTTAGCCTCATATTTTCGATGACGATTTGCACCAACATCAACCAACAACACAAGCTTGTACAACACTCCAGACACTATTTGCTTCGACCCACTTACCACTTCAAGAAACTTTAGTGAATCCCCACTTTGTTTGTTGTGTTCCTTCACTGCCCATTCTCCAATATCACGCACGTGTGGGTCATTTGGATCAACCGACACTGGACCTCCAAGAACGGAACTCATCGTCACTTAGAACAGATAGTCGACAAGCTTTGAAATTGTATGCTCACTTTCAAACAAGAGTTTGATATTTATAGAGAGGAAGGTGTTTCCCTCTAGCGTTAGTGGATATAATCGTAGATTAAAAAAAAACGATCCTATCTACATAAAGAATGTGAACCGTAGATATCCTTCAAGAAAAGTGTGTTTTAATTATCATATTCATTAAGAGAGAGAAAAAACACGTGAATTATGTTTAGATTATGTGTCGGTGTTGTTGATTTGACTTTTAATTCTCTCTTATCTAAACAACTTAAAGATGATTATTCTTTATTGAATATGGTATTGATTCTCTTAAAAATTGATATCAAAAGTATCATAGAATAATAATCTTGTTTGCAATTCTAAATTTGGTTTGTAACTCAATCCTTAACCGCTAAAGCCCTGCTAGCAGATATTGTTCTTTAGGCGGTATGCTATCGAGGACATTAGACTTCGAAGAGGGGTGAATTGTGAGATCCCACATCGATTGGAGAGGGAACGAGTGTCAGCGAGGACGCTAGATCCCGAAAGGGGTGGATTGTTAGATCTCACATCGATTGGAAGGAGAACTACGCCTCCCTTACAATGGTATGAGAACCTTTCCTAACAGACGTGTTTTAAAAAACCTTGAAAATAAACCCAAAAAGAACAATACCCCCAAAAAGAACAATACCGACTAGTCCAAACCATTTGGATTCCTGTAACCCCGCTCTTAACCTGTATTTTTGTTGTTCTCAGTCCAGGCTAATGACGAAGATGAACAGCAACATTTATAAAGATTTATGGAATTTTTTTTGTTCTAAATTGTTCAAGAAATTGCTTGGTTTCTTACGAACATCTTCTTCCTTCGAACTCTTTTCTTGCTTCACCGTGACCGCCCGCTTCAAATCAAGAACTTTCTGATGAGCAACCAGACAGCCAAATTTATTTAGGAGGTTAGTTGTTGCATTCAGAATTCAAGTTTCTAGCCGAAATTCGTTTTGCCTGATGCTATGTAAGAACCTGTACAAGATAATTGCTGCGAAATTTTGGTATTTTTCTGATTTTCTTGTTTCTCCATTATGATTTATGGGTTTTGTTTACTGTAGCTCATGTCTGGGAATTCTTAGTATGGGATATTGGCATTTGATTCAAACTTAAAAGTCTGTGTGATTGATTATGACCAACGGACTGCTTTTCTTGTAAAAACATCTTATGAAGTGATTGATTTCTTTTAGGAGTGATAGTGTTAAATTTCATCGAAATGTTTCAGGACGCCTTTGGTTGAAAGGAGAAGGAAAAAATAAGAATAATGTTTAAGCGGAAAGAAGAAAGCATACTCCATTAGTTCTTAAATCATTCAACATCTTAATAGAATTGACAGCCGAAAGCCATGTACATTAGTGAAGAGTATATGTAATACGAAACTGTGATATCTAAGAACTCAAATTATAGTGAGATGATACCCAAATGATGCCTGACGTAGATAATGATAGTTCTTCTATTCAAACTAATCCTTTCACTAATTCTTCCCATAATGAGTATGGTATTCTGGACATTTTTTTTGGTTTATATTGAATCCTGGAAGAAATACATATTGTTCTTCACTCTTTGACAAGAAAATGTAGTGTGTATATTCGTGAATTATCGCTCTCTTAATTTTTGCGACTGCTTGTGAGTTATGATTATACAATTGTTGAGTCACATTCTACCATGCCTGTATTTTGCAGATAGCTAGGAATTGGACTTTGTAGCTTCATTTTGATGGCTATTGTTGAATCCATACTTGATCTTCAGGTACAAGATCCACCTGAGGAAGAGTTCTATTCTGCTGATTTGACTTGGACCAAGTTTGGCAATGTCGAACACCATGACCACTGAGTTGCATTCGACCTATTGGCTAGATCGCTATGCTGATGAAAGTGACTCGTTTCAAAATGTCAAGGATGAGTATATTTCTTCTACTTCTTGGCACCGTGCTTTGCAAATTCCGGATTCTTCAGTTACCATGGATGATGAGAATCACCTTTTTGCCGAAGTTTTGAGCCAAAAGGACAGAAGTGTTTCACATATAGTGTGGAATCCAGGGTCAGAATTCTCATTTTGTGCTTGTTCTTGGTCAATGCAAGGAAATCTTTGCAAACACGTGATCAAGGTGAATATGGTATGTGAAAATTGTCCAAGTTACAAACCTTCCATATCTTTTCAATCATTTGAGAAGATATTGATGAATATGTGGAAAATACCAATGGATGATTCTGTTTCCTTGGACCCATCAAATTCTGGATGAAATTCAGAAACTAGTTGAATGGAGTTCTTCAAATGATATAAGCTCTGTGGTAAATAAGCTGCCCTTGAAATGGGGTTCTGGGAAGGGAAGAACCAGTTTTAGGAAGCCATCATCTATCATGGCTGTTCCATCGGTGTCCAATTCTGTCAGAAAGGCCATGCCAAGGAACCGGAAAAGGAAAAGATTGTCCAGACCAAGATAGCTTGCCCAGCTTGTTTGCTATTTTATTTCCATTGGGCTCTTTTCAATACCTTGATCTCAATTTATATGATTGTTATATAAGATTTGGTGGCTTGTTGAGTAACTTAAGATTGAAGTATGATCATTTTACAAACACACCCAAGATTAACTGGACTTTGCATTTGTTATGGCATGTAGATCCGTTCACATGGAGGCACTGCTCGAGTCTTGTCGTTGAGGTTAGACTTCTTACACCTCTTTGGCCTTCTGCACTACGTTTACATAATTTATGTTTCATCTTTTTCAGATCGTTAGATACACTTCTATTTTACGAGTTGATGCTTCTGAATTCTGCAGGAATGTGTATATAGAAACTGTTAAATAAGATCAGTTCAAGTACTTGTTCATTTTAGGTAGCTAGTGTATGAGTAGAATTGATTTTGGGCAGTGTAACAGCCAGCAGATATGACTTTCTTTGGGGGCTTTCCCTTTGAGGCTTCTTCTCACGGTTTTAAAATGCATTTGCTCAAAGAGAGGTTTCTACACTCTTATAAAAAATGTTTCGTTTCCCCCCTCCGACCAATGTGGGATCTCACAATTCACCCCTTTGGGGGCCAGCGTCCTCGTTGACACGTAACGGACCAAAACAGACAATATCTGCTAGCGGTGGGTTTGAGGTATTGTTATAAGTAACTACTCCAGAAACTGTACCTCTGATTTTACCATGGCAAATTGCCGTAGCTTTTTGCCATCATGTATTGAAGGGAACACAGATCATGTACTAATTAGATATCTGTACTACTTACATTCAATCTGAAAATAAAGTCAAAATGTTTCTAGCCGTGTATGTTGATTCTTTGATTCAATAACTAGCTCCAGCAAATGGCATTGAATGATGAAAGTTGTGCCAATATATATGATAATTTTTTCTGCACTTAATTGAACATTTTAATCTTAATCTTAGGCTTAAAAGTTAAAGAAAATTAGTAGTTTTTTTTAGTATAATTTAAGAACAATTTTGGAAGTTTTAGAGCCATTCTAGTTTAACCGATTTAACTAAAATTCAATTTGCTTGAACGTTCCCCATCACGTTTAGATTTCGAAGTGGGTCCAAAATTGAAGCTCGCCACACACATTTTCATGTCCAAAAAACCCTAATCACAGCCATGGATTGCCAATTGGGAGTGAGGAAATCTCACCTTATCCACACTCTCACCACAATTCCTTATCCAATTCCATCTCAGACGTCGTTCATTTATCAGATTCCCTCATAATCCCATTTCCCTATTAACAACTCTCCACCATTAATCCTCCTCCTTCGAGCCTTCGGACTCGGATTTTGTACAAAAGTTGCAGAGAGTAATGGCGACCATGAATTCCAGCGTCTTGGCCTGCAACTACGCCATTTCAGGTGCTGGATCCGCCGAGCTTAACTCGAAACTCAGCGCCGTGACTTCTGTTGCGTCGCCTGGGGTTTCTGGTTACAAGTTGCCTGCGATTAGGGCTCAACAGGCTAGGGTTCCTGAAGCTAAGAATGAAGGAAGGAGAACTGCGCTTCTCTTCCTTGGAGCTTCCCTCTTTGCTGCGGCTGCTGCTTCCTCCAACTCTACGGCTAATGCTGGAGTCATTGAAGAGTACCTTGAGAAGAGTAAAGCTAACAAGGTAAGCTACTCTTTGCTATCCAGATTATTCATGAACATTCAAATTGCTTTTTCATTTAGTTTTAGATCCTATTTCGGTCTATGAACTCTATTCCATTTAATATACTTCAAATGCTCTGTTTCGATTCTTTGACTTGGCATATTAACGAGTCTTGTTCTTGATTCCTTTACTTAGCTCAAAAGTGTGTTTGGTTCTGGTTGTTGCTAAAATAAATTGTCCTCTTTCGGCTTTCCCTTTCGAGCTTTTCTTCAAAGTTTTCAAAACGTGTCGGTTGGTAAGAGGTTTCCACACCCTTATAAAGAATGTTTCGTTCTCCTCTCCAATCGACATGGGATCCACATACATTTCAAAAGTGAATGAAACAGAATTTTGTCAATTGGATGGTAAACCAACCGATCATGTTCTTAACTCTGTTATTGCAACAGGAACTGAATGACAAGAAAAGATTAGCAACAAGTGGAGCAAACTTTGCAAGGGCATACACTGTTCAGTTTGGATCATGCAAGTTCCCAGAGAACTTCACAGGGTGCCAAGATCTTGCAAAACAAAAGGTATGAACCTTCATTGCTTAGTTATAATCACTGTTGGCTGTGAAATTTTGAGTACAAGTAAATGTGTTTATGTTAAGCACTAAGTTAGTTCTCTGTCCTGCTTTTGATGAATGCAGAAAGTCCCATTTATCTCTGATGATTTGGAATTGGAGTGTGAGGGGAAGGACAAGTACAAGTGTGGTTCCAATGTCTTCTGGAAATGGTGAAGAGAACAGAACAATTTATTAAAGTCTTTGTATCTAATTTTCAACTTTTAGTAAGTGTGAAATTTTATCAAGTCCAATTCCATTGCTTTCTTTCTTCTCTTTCAGACCAAAATAAACCAAATGAGAAAGTAGAAACCCTAGAAATCTTTTTCTTTAGCTATGTTAATGTTAATGTTTCGGGAAGGTTACTAAATATATATTTAATAGTCAATTTGAGCATAACTCAATACAGAAAATACCAATTTTACTGATAGATAATTCGATCTACGCTCCTATCATTGTTAAACAAATGTATATAGTGAGTTGTGTCTAAATCCAAGAAGAGATGTTTAAGTTCATTCAAAATTCTAGAAAGAAAAACGTTTTGGGACAAAGTTCGAACTTAAAATGGTATTGTTGGAGCATCGTTTAGTCGAAATTAACGACTTGATTTAGATTGTTAACTATGTTTTTATGTTCGAAAGGTCAAATTGTGCGAGTGGATAAAGTTTTATGGATTCTTTTTGTGGCTATCAATGACGTTTTTTGCAAATCAAGCTAAAAAAAACGAGAAATTAACCTGCAGTGCACTACACTTGGTGTCGGTGTCACGGTGTAGTAATAAACAAAAACTGATTATTACATGTACAGACCACCTTTCCTTTACAAGAACCAAAAAAATATTGTTATACCTCACAAGATTTCTCTAAGAAAATACATCATATCCCCATTGCTTAAGAAAGCTTTATCCCATTCCCACCATCGTCCATTCATCAATAACTCAAATCTCTCCGATACACAATGGATAAATTTACACCTGAGGATACGAGGAAGATGTCTTTTTCTTCTTTTTCATTAAACGTTTATAGTCAAAGAGGTCTTCTTGGTGATCCACCATGAGTCCGCACTTTCAATAGCGATGAATCTCGTGATGGGTCGAGTGTGAACAATGTGTTTGGTCTCGTGTTATATGCGTATTCGTTTAAATTGTAACAGCTTTGACCCAACCCCATGTAAGATGTGTGAGGTGGTGAACGATAACAGCTCTGGTGTAGCGGGCCATACGACCGTAACGGACTCGAAGACGGAGAGACAGGCAAGGACGTGATCATTCGTGCATTTCCCCTGCACATAAAGTGTATGCATCAATCTCTGAGACATGGTCTAAGACAAAGAGGAGATTGTAAAGGACAGGATGTTGCGTACCTAGGACTCCTCAAAGCTCTCGACGAGGTTGTCGGGTTTGTCACGTAGTCTCCATCACATATGCTTATACTTTTTCTGTTTGGATGCTGATCTAACAATGGCTGCATATATAGATGCAAAGATTTCAACTCTATAATCAACTTTAAACAGATTAAGCAGAACAATCCAAGAGGTCTCCCAATTCAAGCGATTCAAATAAATAATTTCATCTCGACCATGTGATTCTAAGTTCTAAGTAACACGAGCAACCTACCGGAGTCTGGAATCCATCGAAGCTAAAGGGAAATGCATCCATGGAAAAGTTGACATCAGATGCTCTTGGTGTTACTGCATCTTGAACAAAAGGGTGATCCAGCAGTTCTGCAGCGGAAGGACGTGCCGATGGATTGCGTTGTAAACATAGCTGCACAAAGTTTTTAGCATCATAGGAGAGATGGTCTGGGATTTCAGGCATATCTTTGCTATTTCCAATTTTGAATATGGCAGCCACCTGTTGGTTCCAAAATATAAGATAAATATGGACCCAGAGAATTTAACATCAAGAGTAAACAAAAACTCCGAGAGAAATGTTCGAGGAAGATGCGTACCCCTTCATATTTGCTCCAAGGTGGCTTAGACGTTGCCATTTCGAGAACCGTACACCCTAAACTCCAAATATCTACAGCAAGACTATACCCATTCGTATGCATCACAACCTGAGATTCCACGACGAGCAACGAGAAATGAGAAACGAGAAACTATTAAGACAGACATAGTGTAGGTGTACAAGTAAAAGAAAAAGTTCAATATAATACAAAAGAATGTGGAGGAACATTATTTGTAACCGCTCAATCCCATCACAAGCAGATATTATTCTCTTTTTGGGCTTCCCCTAAAGGTTTTTAAAACGCGTCTACTAGGGAGTGGAAAGGCTTCCCCTAAAGGTTTTTAAAACGCGTCTACTAGGGAGAGGTTTCCACACCCTTGTAAGAAATGCTTCGTTTTCCTCTCCAACGATGTGGGATCTTACAATCCACCCCCCTTGGGGGCCTGGTGTCCTCGCTGGCACACCATCCGATGTCTGGTTCTAATACTATTTGTAACAACCCAAGCCCACCGTTAGTAGATATTGTTCTCCTTGGGCTTTCCCTTTCAGGATTCACCTCAAGGTTTTTAAAACGCATCTACTAGGGAGAGGTTTCCACACTCTCATAAGAAATGCTTCGTTCTCCTCCCCAACGATGTGGGATCTCACAATGCACCCCCTTGGGGGCCAACGTTCTCGCTGGCATACTGCCCGGTGTCTAACTTCAATACCATTTGTAACAGCCCAAACCCACCACTAGCAGATACTGTTCTCTTTGGGCTTTCCCTTTCGAGATTCCCCTCAAAATTTTTAAAACGCATCAACTAGAGAACGGTTTCCACACCCTTATAAAGAATGTTTTGTTCTCCTCTCCAACCGAGGTAGGATCTCACATTCTTCCTTTTCGTTTATTCTTTTTGTAGTACTCGCTTTTCGGTCTGTTATTTAAAGCAGGGGGAATGGAACAAAGTGATAAAAAGTACCTCAGGGGCCATCCAATAAGGACTGCCTTTGAACGAAAGCATCGAAGTACAATTCGTCATCTGATTCAAACAAAAAAGAAAACATAAATTCTAAATCAATCAAATTGTCAAAATATTTTGATATCAGAACTTCTAACCCAAAAGTAAATTTAGCAGTCAGTTCCATTAGCCAAAGCATTTCAAGTTACGTATTTAAAACTGTGGCCCCGTCGAGGACAAGGAAAAAATAGTAACATTTGAGAAGACGAGTTAATTTACATACGTGTTTTGCCATGCCGAAGTCGACCAACTTGACCTCGCCATTTGGATCCACTAAGATATTAGCCCCTTTGATGTCCCTGCCAGGAGAAGTACATAAGGACCCGCACGTATGAAAATACGATTCCAGAGCAGTATTTACAGCCAAAATACCTATGCACTGTATTTCTCCCGTGCAGATACGCAAGCCCAGAAAGAATCTTTCGGGTATAATTTCTTATAACAGGTTCTTTGAAGGCGCCATATTCTTGTAGTAATTTGTGGATTGAGCCACCGGAGATGTATTCTAAATAGACGGAGAGCGATTCGTCACCCTGGTAGAGAAAATTTATTACGTAAGATTGGTTCAGAAGTTTTGAAACTTGTGTTCATTATTATTAGAAAGTAGCCTTCAACAGAGTATGAGAGTGCTTACCATTTCACTACCATAGTACCGGACGATGTTCGGATGCGACAGCTGACTGAGCAGGGTTATCTCCTGTTTAGACGGAGTGATGGGTTAGAATTACAACCAAGTATCAAGATAGTAAAACGTATAGCTTAAAAGCAGATATAGCAAACAAATATACACCAAAGTACTCAAACTGGAGAATAAGAACGACCTGATTCAATTGCTTGAGACATTCCTTCGATGTCAAGTCATCGCTAATAACCTTGACCTCCTTAATTGCACACATTTGGCCACTTACACTGCAATGAATCCAAGAAGAAGGATTAGAGAAGTACTAACAAAATAGTTCTTTGATCGACTAAGAGCTCCTTTGAGATGCTAACAGGGAGGTTAACAACAAAGTAGTTCGTCTGATCGACTAAGCAAGATATGAACCAAGAGTGTACAACATCGTTTATGAATCGTATCTTGGTCGATCATTGTTCCACACTAATCCGAAATTTGAAAATATAGTTTCAATCCATTTATTATAATGTGAACACGAAAATATCTTAATCAAAACCACCATTACCTGTTAAATCCAAGGTAAACATGCCCAAATGTTCCCCTTCCTAGAAGCCTTCCTCTCTTCCACTTCGATTGGGTAGCCGGGTCATTATCACCGATATTGACAGCTTTCGTGCTGGTCAACGAAGAAGGGCTGGTGGGAGAGCTTGGAGGAAGCGGCAGCTTATGACATCGACTCTTCCCATCATCTAGCTTGCCGGTCGGAGACTCGAGACTCGTGCCACAGAACCGTGAGTTCAGAGGCGATGTAGGACTCGTGGGTCCTCTCGATCCTGGACCGGGACTTCTTGGCCTTGCCTCTATTCTGGTATCAGCAAATCCTCTAAATAAAATTCGAAACATATGGACTAATATTACTAAAAGCATTACAGATTTTCATCTTTGGAGTAGCCATTACTTCTAAATATCTCACCGATGGAACTATGAGTGTCCTCTAAAAACAAACTCTAAATTCTTTTCGTTCCAGTTGAGTGAAACCTTATGAAGCAGTCACGAGTAGATTTGAAAATGGAAGTATCAATCAATAAAATCCTCTATTACAGAAACACTACGCAATAAGATCAATCAATAAAACCCTCTATTATAGAAACAGGGGAATCTTCTGTTAAACAGAGGACTCAAGTCCTTCAAGTTCACAACAGGATCTAAACGATAAGTCATCTCCAGCCAAAAACCTAGAATCATCCACAAACTCAGAACAAGAAATCACTACACAAACAAGAAAAACCTTCAAAATTAGAAACCCACCCACCTGTAAGCTCCAAACTGAAGCTGTTCTTGATTCGATGGATGTTCATCCGAAGACCCAGAAGAGCTAACACTGGAAACCGAAACAGACCCAGATCCAATCCCGACTCCATGATCAATCCCAAAAGCGGGGGGAGTAGCAGGTCTCGGAAGAGGGTGACTCTTATCCCCACTATCGGAGTCAAAACCAGAGAACCCAGAAGAGCCGCCGCCGCCTACATCAGCAACCCCAGAAGAGGCCAGATCCCTGGAAGGCCTGGGGGAATTACGAGAGAAAATCAGAGAAGAGAGGTCATCGAAGCTCCTGGGGGTTTCTGCCCCCTTCTTAGGCTCAGATTTGGGGGAAGAAGTAGAAGATTTAGAGAAGTTGAGAAAATTAGTGGGGGGATTGTGATGCTCTTTGCTTTTACTGAATTTTCTTGCCCACCAAGCAGGCATGGTAGAAAGA